AGGTGCAAGAATGAAATATGCCTGTTATTACATGATGCCATATAAGGCATGGTGAGGTTATAAAGTGCAACATTGGCTATAATGGCAAAGAGATGCACACATGCATGTATTTCTGAGAAGAGAGTATATTGCGCATGTTTAGAAGCATGCACACAAAGTCAATCATAACATGTAGTCGGCTGCAGAAGCATTAGCACAAAAACACACATTTTCACATTCATTTTCATGGGGCACAACCTTCTTCAGTCATGGTATTTTGGAATTTGCTGCCCCCTGCTGAAAGTAAAGGAATGACTCCAGCCTCATGTCACAACAGGATGGACTCAAGAGCGAACAAAAACAGATTAAATTTAGTGTAAAATCTAAGGCGACCGCATGACCTGTGGGTGACCTAAGGTTGCAAAAAGTAAAGTGGGTGTTTTATAAACTGTCATATGTCTTAGGCTATTCTTTAATGATGTTTTTGTAGGGAAAAAAATCTCTTCCTTCCAGGTGGCTGAGCTATCAACCACTGCACGTGGGCTTTCATTACTGACTTATGGTATCTGGTTTTGGGCTCTTTTTGGTCTTTTGCCTGCCCTATTATTGCTTTTTATCCATTATTTGCCTGTCCGTATGCTTCTGCCTATCTCCATTTTTCCCTGCCTTTGTCATCATCCACATCACAGTCATTTGGATGCTTCTGCGTCTTGCCTCGAGGTGCTTATCAGCAGAGAAAGATATAATTTACATCAAAGCCACAAACAAAACGCAGATAAACACTGAAAACAATAATTCAGAATGTTGTCAGACTTGGTGGAAATGGCACCGTATGATAGACTTATGTGACATTCAGTAGTTTCAATACTGCAAATAAGCATGACATATTTTAGTAAATGTACATAAAAGGATTATTGTTTCCCAACAGACAATGATCAGGTCTTATAAATAATATGACTACTAGGAGAGCAATGAATGAAAGGATAATTGGTTACTTGTGTGTGTGTTTACACAAAATGCTCTTGCCCACTTATTTTCCCATCCTGCTCACTATCAAAAGATCTGGATAGAAATGTAGGTTGCTGTGATCTTTGTGCACGGCTGACTTTTGGCCTCCGTGTGTTGTGTTTCTATCTCGGCTTTGTCCCGAAGCACTGCCCCAGAAAACTGTGTGAGTCAACTAATCTGCTATTCCTTCACCACGAGAATGAAGAATGCTTTACTCTCCTTTCTCCTACTGACTCTCCCATGCACTGGCTTATGCTTCCTCATTTCTCATCATCCTATTTCTATAAATATTTCTATAAATATGTATCTCAGTTTTGTTTAATGGGATGCATTTGCTTGTCGCTCATGTCCTTTACCTTTGCATGTTTTTTTTTTATAATGTACTCACAGCCACATTGCTCTTAACGATTACTGTTACAGACTAAGTAGCTATGGCCATCAGTGTATGGCTCTTTATACATAATTATATGTTAAATCTGTGGCTATTATTTTTATAATAACAGTGAATGAGCTTGTGGATGTTATTGTCCATTGTCAAAGGCAGACACATAGACACGCCTGGCAAACTTAGTAAAGTTACAGCTGTGACTTTTAAAGAAAACATATTGATTTACTAACAATTCTGAACTATTGCAAATGCAATAGTAACATATAACTTATAAAAAAAGACAAAATGTCCATCCTGTACATGGTATGGCTCATATTTATGTCTACTGTTATATAGATCTTTAAAAATTATCTTCCTATAAACACATATATACACTTTAAATACACTTAAATAGCTTAATGACTTCTAAATGAATACTAAATATTATTTTGAACGATGTTAAAAATCCAACTTTACAGGGTAAACCAGCCATAATTCCAGTTTCTAAAAGCAAATAAAGTAGAAAAGAAAAGGCACTTTTTTATTTAAAGTAAATATTTGCCTAAATCACAGTAGATGTTATGAATCTAGATCCCCTAAATAGTTTATAGGCTTCCTTTTCATCAAGATTGAACCAGCCATCTAGGAGAAATTCAGGAACAAACATTTAGACATACATGTGCTACAGTCATTATGACCTTGCATTTATTGACCTGACCATGCACTGCTCTCAGTACTATGGTATTCGAGAGTCTATTGTGAGACCGTCTGTCTAACAGCTAAAGTTTAGCCCCAGTTGTGTCATGCAGACGGAGAATAATCCCAGCATCTGCAATTGCATTATACAATGAATAACAGAATTGCAAAGCCGTTACGCATTCAGATGCAAATGAAAAAGCAGCATACGCTCATTTACACATAAATATTAAAAAGTACTATATTAAACACGCTAAACATATAAGCTTTATACAAGGTATAGTGATGAGGTACTTTTTGTTAACAAAAGCAGTCATGCTGTGGAGTAGCATGATGGGGCAAGTATTGAATTCACAATTGTTTTCCACAAATGTGTGTGTTTTGATAACACACTGGAATTATGGCTGGTGTGATCTCATCAGTAGTCGGTCTCTCTGGGTTCATCCACAGTACTCATCTTTCCTCTCTTCAAACACTGGTCAGAAAACGATTCACTTTGAGCCACGTTCTGAGTTTTTTCTTGTTAAAAGGGAAGGAATTAACGATTATATGATTAGATCTCAGGAAGACGAAGCTATACTGGGGATTTTATGAAATGACACATAGAAGTAATCACAGTACCAAGTGGAACAAAGCTACTGGAGAGTGAGGGGCACGCAGTGATCCTGTCACTTTTTTGGATTTTGGAAAATGTCATCTTATCAGATCCTATCATTTCATCTATAAACTATTCATCACAGACAGAGGCAGTGAAATCCATTTGAATGACTTTAAGAAAATGTCAGAAGGAAGTTCTTTGTTTAGTGAGATGATATTAGATAAAGACCAAACTCTGTGTTTCGCTTTCCGTCATAATATTTATTCTTAAAAATGAGTAAGCAGACAGTTTGTGTGTCCTGTGAATACCAAAATGTTTGTAGAACAGTACAGAACAGTAAAACACCTTTCATTATATTTCTATAACAAGACCTTTTGAACATTTCAAAAGTCAAAACAAAGGACACATTCTTTAATATTACATCAATTCTTTCATCTCAGGAAATAGACCACAATTTTTTTTAGAAATAGATGTAAAAATATACAATTAAAGTGATCAGTGTTAAACAGCAGGCTATCTTTTCTGATGCACATAACTATTAATTTGCACAATATCAGTGAGGAGGTGGACATTTTAGAACGCAACCACACCGGAGGGACCAATCACATCTTTAAAAGGACTTCACAGCTTAGACAGGAGGAGCTTCAGTCACTACACACTTCCCCAATTTCCCTCGTAACGTACTCTGTCTCACACTTCCTCAGCTCATCAAATTCTTATTTCTTCCCCTGCTTTCTTTGCCTCCTCCTGAAAAAACTATAAGAGAATTTTTCATTCCCTCAGATGCTCTCCTCTCATTGCATTTTCATCAGGAAACAAGGACACAGGAAAGAAAAAAAGGGAAGTGAAAGAGTTGGACAAAGTAAGGAAGGGTAGAAAGATTACTTGTAGTCATTTGAGTGCTGACAGGATGATCTTGTACTGGACAGAAATTGGTCTGAATAATGAGACCAGCTCATTGACCCCGAACGCATTTGCATCGATGACAGGGGTCAGATTGTGCTTTCACACCTGCAGTGGCTCAGACAGCGAAATTTAAAAGCTGTATATTTCTTAATGAGGTTTGTGTCAGAAGAAGTGTTTCCAAAAAATACAGCGATAGGAAGAGCATTGCCAAAGCATGAAAGTGAGATGACATAAAAAGCATCACAGTTTCAAGAACGTCATGCGATGAAGAGCTAAAGAAGTAAAAAAAAAATGGGAAAGAAGTGGACAAGCAGAAAAAGAGTCAGAAGAGGTGAAAGCAACAAAACACAAGAAAACTGACAAGAGGGAAGAATAAAAAGAATCAGAATAGAAGACAGATGAGGTTTGAAATGCTCATCTGATGGGCCTCTACAGGCAGAGCGGGAAATAAAAATGCAGGGTTGGAAGCACATCTATCTGTCACTCTGTGTTAGGCTCAGTATAATTACTGTGAAATGACAGATATCCGTGACTTATAGGAGGGCGGCTAGAGGAGAGAGAGAGAGGTGTGTTTTTAGACTCAGCCTGCGAGTCACATAAACACACATCTATTTGTGGCCTGGTGCAGATCTGTAGCTCACGCTAGAAAATGAAACTATAACCAATGGTGATTTTAATGTTTAAACCCAGGCATATTTTATATTGGCTTATTGTTTTTGAATCTAATCAGGGATATTTAGTTTTACCACAGAAATCTGCAAAACCCCAAATGACTTGATTTGTGCTAACATGATAATCAATAACCTAATAATTCCTTCACATTATTCCAATAAGCAGAGTTTTTGCTAGTCTTTTTTTGCAACAACAATAAATTCAAGTAAATAAGAACAGCTCGACGATCAGAAATGGTGTGCAGGCCTCAAAGTCACAGCTGTCACTGATAACATGTGAGATTTCTGTGGCAAAACTCTTGATGTGTAGTTTTACAACGAATGGTAACTGATGCCCCCTTACAGCCTCAGTACATAGACACCACTGAAATATTCTTTCTTAACAAGCAAAACTACTTAATATGGTCCCCAAACTGCTACATCTTAAAAAGTCACATTTGGGTACCTAGTACCTAATAGGGTGGCACAGCACTTTGCCAATAAATGTACAGTGAAAGCCTTGTACAACACAACACACGGGTATCGTTCTAAAGGCACAGACACTATCGTGATCATTATTGACAAGGTACCAGGACAGGTTGTATCCATATAATGTCATTAAACTGATTTTAAAATATTATTGGTTAAGAAAAAAGCTGCTTTCATCACAATGTTAATTAAGAACATCAAACGTGTTATTTAAAGTTTGTGCAAAACAGACTACATAATGACACGATAGCTTTTCCTTTTTTCTTACATTTTTTTTTTACAAAACAAAAATAACACTCTGAGTCATTTGTTTCATTTCCTGTTTTGAGTAGTGGCTGATAATGCTGTTTTTGTTTCATGGACATTTTATATAGACAACAGGCAGCTTGGTTGGTCAGTCAAGCGGTCAGTTAAAAATGCGTTTCCTTCTCTGAGATGGTGGATATTTTCCCATCGGCCTTAAGTTTTGCATCGTTGGCAGCGTAAGGACTCGTGGCAGCAAGTTTCCCTCTCATTTTCAGGTCTGGGCTGGGGGTGGTTAGCTTCTTTATTCTCTGCACAGAGCCAAAGACACAAAGAGGAAAGATAAGAGAATATATTTCAATCTCTGGAAGGTGACACAGTAACACAGCATCAGCACCACTTGGCCCTAAATGCAATACTGTACGTTTAAAACTGTTAAAATCATTTTATATATTCAAATGAGTGTAATATTTGTAAGCTATTTGTAAGAGATTTGGGGAGATGATCCTTCAGTTTGGTGAAGTTTCACTATTCTAGTAGGAAACAACCTAACTGTCTTATGTTTGTCTCTCTTTATTTTGCCTCCATGAGACCTCGAGTAAAGAATCATGACTTGTTGAAGAAGCATAAACTTTTGAACAGGATCATCATACATGCTCTAACCTGTGTATAGCTTTCTTATCTTTGATACACATATTTGTATGATTTCTATAATAATTATATATAGAAATCAGTATTATTATTATTATTATTATTATTATCAGTAAGTATTATATATACGGTATCTTATGACTTTCATATCTCTCTGCTGCAAGATTAGCTCTATATGAGGCTGGTAAATTTGATTTCAGTATTTCCATTTGCATGTGTACCATATGCATGTTTTACCTCAGAGAAGGTGCCAGGAGTCTTCCAAATCATCCAGATAATACCCAGAGGGATGCAGACCATTGAGGACATGGCCATGAACCAGCCAATACCATAGCCCCAGTCAGGGTAGACGTAAACATTGTTGTACTTCAGTGGTTTGTATTTAATCAAGAAAAACAAGAAAATTCCCTGTGGCAAAAACAAAATTCAGTTTGCAAATGTTTCAATTTAGAATATGACATAAAGAAACGGCTTTAATAAATAAATTAAAGTTGCAGTACTGTATCTTTGTGGATTGCTGTGCAAATGTATTATTCAAAGTTAGGAGTTTAAGAATATGAAAATCAACATTTCTGGTTGACACAGCACGGCAGCTACACAATACGAACTCATTATTTGCACATGTGATAAAAATATATGATGATCCATGTTGATTCAGTATAAAACTCCAGATCCATCCATATGTATCTTCAGAATTTTGTTTTTCGTTTTTTTTTAATTTATATTTTTTTTAACATGATACGCTGTTTGTGCTACTACAGCTCTTGAAATTATGCCACTCACAGCACAGATGCCCGGGGTCAGGATCATCCAGCACCATTTGATGAAGAAGACGGGTTTGTACCCAATCATGTCTTCAATATTAAGGTAGAATCTGTCACTACCTGAAAAAAAAGTATGATTCAGTGACAGTTTCTGTGTGTTTCATAAAAATAATGATGTGGTTAATCTTTAAAGACAGTTTGTGACTCTCTTAACAAGGTGGACGAAATCTAGTCTGAAACTTTCTATCAAGAAAGCCGAGATCAATTTGTTTTGCTTCATATCTGATTTATTGTGCTTATAATAGATCTGTCTTTGTAAGTTGTTGTCAGTTTGTCAGTTTAAATTAGACTTACAGTAACATAATTGTATTGACATCTAAACACAGGGGGGAAAAACATGTATATTGCTTATGTATATTTTATCAAATATACATGTATGCATAATATTTGAGTCAAGTAGACAGAAAACAACCTTATGTTTTATTTAAAAAAGCACAGAAAGCCACTGCTTTAGGATTACTTTTATTATTATGCATCAGTAAAACGATTGGTGCAAAATTAAGAGAATGCTGCATGTGTTTGAGACCAATCTCCAGCAGAGGGCAGAGAAGAAATATTATTGCAGAGTGTTAAAAACATGATGGCTTTTGCAGTGCTGCAATCTGTGGCAGTTGCCCAGCTGACAAAAGACAAATGACTGTAATCTCAAGCGACAAGAGGGGGAAGTGAAGTGAAAAACTGAAAACACTGCTTTGATATTTCAAGGTGTATAGGTCAAAACTCTTATCTTACCATACACCCAGCCGATGCATATGGACTCAAATATGGCTACGAACAGCAGACACATCCCGCTGGCAGCATACGCATCAAACAGCTGGAAGACGTACATCCCTCCCTGACAAGACAAGACAAGTGTCAGTTTCCTGTCAGACTCAGACTACATGTCAGACTCAGTTGAACAAAATCAAGTATAAAGTTAACGATGAGTGCATGATTATGGTTAATGGCAAGACCTCAGTAGCAAACAAAATAAACTTGCAAACATCCCACACTGGTATTTTCATAAGGACTTGTCCCAAAATTAAATAATTCTACACAACAATAAATATTTTATATTAGAGCCACTGACAGACACCAGCTATAATGCTTTTTTTCAAATCTGGTTTGAGTCTGACTGAAGGATGCATTTACAGTATATTTGGTGCATTGTAGTGTAGTGTGTCAGGGATGACTGCATGGAGCCTCCCGTTCATGCTCTGATGGCCAAACTTGCACTGAGTCAATTGTTTGTGAATTTGTGCTAAAAAGCTTTAAAGATGACCACTGGGCTTCATTGGTCACCATAGTTGTGTTCAGGTTCATTTTAGTTGCCAAAATGTGTTTGTTGGTTTCAATTTAGCCGTAACTGCTTAAACATGTTTAATTGCTGTTAAGATCATATTAGTTTCATTGTTTTGTTCTTTTTGTTTTAGGTTGGGTTTATTTTTACATTACAATGCACTGGAGTATTTGTCAGGGGTAAGATATAAGGTAATACACCACTGACCATTATGTAACACTAAAAATAAAACATTAAAACTAAAGAATTATTATTTCCTGCCTGGTTTTATGTTATTTCTTTTACTAAACAAAATCTTTTATATCTTTTTTGCCACTGATACGTTAAGTTTTTGGTCAATAAAAATAAGGACAAAAATTTGATATTTATGTTTTTGAACAGTGACACGTTTTTTGTAATTATGCCTCTGTAGACTAGCACAGTGGATTTAAATTAAATGATTTAGATGTGATTGAGACCTAGACTTTCACCTTGAGCATTTTATATATATCAACAATTCTTCACTACATCCATTAATCTTTTTCTTTTCATCCTGCCTTACAGCTCTTCTTAGTTTGTATTTCTCTCACATCTTCACATTTCATCTCAAAAGGTAGTCTTGCATTTTACCTTCCCCTGCACTCAAGACAAGTTATCAGCTCTTCCACTAAAAGCGTCATAAATAAAATCTCACATGAATCTTACAGAAGGTTACATCACAGCTTTACTGTGCTAGTAAAGCTAAGCTAAGAATCGTCTCAAAATATCTTAGTATTGCACCACACTCCCAGAAGAGCATTTAAACTGTGTTTAATCCTACTCTGAGACATTTTATTCAACATACTTTTTTGTCAGCTTTTGAATAAAGCTTCTTGAGTCTCATTATAGGTGGAAGTTGATTAAAAAGTGATAAAACTTATACATAGTGGTAATAGGAAGGAATAGGCAGTAAAAACAGAGGTCAATCAACTGAAAGCTCTAAGACAAAAGACTGAGAGAGAAAGTGCTATACTTCCATATTTTATCAAGTTTCATCCCCTGTGCCATCTCCATTATGGAACACTAAAGAATGGTACTGTACATTCATAGTGGAGATGGATGGAGTTCAGTGCAGACAGAAATGTGAAATGCTTTTAGTGGCTGAAAGAGGTTTTTGAAACAAATCTTCAGGTCTAAAAAGTACAGAAGGGCTGAAATTTAAGAACCTATCACAGGACACAACATTCATTTTTCCATACCTTCATAGTAGACATGAAAACATAACAGCCATAATTATTTAAATACATTTAATTGAAAGGGAAGGTGACGTGTAAATTCTAACGTCTTGGGATTCATTATAAAACCTTGCATAACCATTACAAACATTCAACACTGTCTTCACTTCTGCATCATAAAAACTATCCGCATAATTACCATGTATAATTATCAGCATTAGTTCAACATTTATTAACACATAGAGCACGAAACTTGCTTAATGCAAAGGAGTCTGACCATTCAAAGCAGTGGTAGGAAGCTTTGGATCTATGTGCACATGTTGCACTTGCACATGTTTCCCACGTTCACTGAAATGGCAGAAGAGGTGGAGAAAACCTCTTCCAGGTGCTCTTGAATGGGTCAGAGTTCCAAACTCCTTATAGAAAGGCCCCAGCCAGGATTTGAAGCAGTGCTAACCACTCCATCGCTCTGCCACCATATCACTATATCTGTATCAGATCTCATGTCTATGTCAAGGCACCATCTCTCAAAGCATCCTCTGACCTCTGTATGACCTATTTTCCTAATGTGCACCATATATAATCAGTCCTTGAGCTGTTTTTCTGTTACACTCTTTGGTGGTTCCCTCCATGATCCTTCAAACAATAGCAGTAATCCATCTCTGCACAATCTGCACAAACGTGGTGGGAACACAGATAGCTCTCACGACTGAATTAAGGTCTCCCTTGAGCTCTAACACGGCCGTCCCATGAAAAACACATAGACATAGCATGTACATTTTCCCAGTCTCAAGAGCCCCTCAGCATTTTCTTTGACTTGACTTACACTGGTGGCTCTGAAATTGATCTCGATAAATGCAGGTCAAACGTGACCCGTAACAGCAGTAGATTACTGCTGTCAAATGTCCATATGTATAGGTTTGTAATGGTTATCTAATGGTGTGTAAGGGTTATCAATAAAACAGATCAGGGCACAATTAAAAACAATTAAAATAACAGGAAAAGGTTTCTATTATCTACAGTGTATCTGATTGGATTTCATGTAAGGGATGGATGGATGGATGGATGGATGGATGGATGGATGGATGGATGGATGGATGGATGGATGGATGGATGGATGGATGGATGGATGGATGGGCAGGTGGGGGTAAATATTATACAGGCATTTAACATATGGGACATTTAACTGACAAGCTATAGCTATCTTACCTCCATACACATGATGAGTCCTATGAAAAACGAAACTATAGACATGCCTAGGATCAGTAGTTCTCTGCGATAGCCTCTCCGGAAGGTGTCTGGGTACATGTCCACCACAGCTGTCACCAAGCTCTCCACACATACAAACTTAGATACAAAAAATAAAACTGAAATTTACAGGATAGACACTTTGATGAGAAAAAAGACCATAAGGTCATTATATCATCATTATATTATACATCAACATAAACTGAAAACTCTTTGAGCAGGATGTTCCTCTCAGTATATGCATCTGTGGTGGTAAACCAGAAATGTTTATACCTGGAAGTAACACTGGAACCAAAAAGTTGCACAGAGGGGGAAAAAAATTGCCAGATCACGTTTTTGCTCACAATTAAGATTTGCCAACGTTTCATTGACATATTGTGCAAGTGCTAACATTTTACCTTCGTTTATTCAACTTTGGAAATACATGTTTCCTGCCAGAAACCTTCTGCGACCCAAATGTAACCAAAAACTTTAAAACAAAAAATTTAAACAACAATATAAAACTGAAATCAATAGAGCATGTAATCCATGTCATGCATATATGATTTCTTCACAAATATTAAAAATTTGTAGAGGCACATAGAACTCTAATTGTATGTGGCAAGGATACAAATTGAGACTGTTGAACTGAACGCGTTCCCTCAAGGAAATAAGCTTCATGTGTTGTCTGCCAAGCCGTAGGTCTCAGCAAACCTTCAACTTTGTCACAAGCTTAAGAGTCAGCATTCCCAGGATATATTCACAACAGCAGTACTCACCTGACTGTCCAGGCCAAGGAAGATTAGCATCATAAAGAACAGACAAGCCCAGAGTGGAGACAGAGGCATCATAGTAACAGCTTTGGGATATGCAATGAATGCAAGACCAGGACCTGAATGAAAATATAAGAATACAGATTCTCAATTACAGGACTGCTGGCAGTGTATCTGATAGAACAAGTACAAAATTCTAACAGCAAAACAAAGACTGCTTGGTCTACAAAGAATAAATTAAACTTCACTTTTTAGGATTCTGCAAAATTATATAGTTCTCAAAAATCCTCAAAAATGAGACCTAATGGTAGCATGCATTATGTGAACTGGGCTGATTCTTGTTGTTATTGTTGTTACAAATCAGACACTGCTTTGATTTTAGTCTTGCATCTAGCTGACGCAGAGCAGCCATTGTAGAAAGGTGATCCTGCTTGTAGCGGTTATTTAAAGCTTTGGTCTTTTTCTTATCCTCAGCCAGTATTTTTTGTCATTGGGAAAATATTATAGAGGTCACAGAGATCACTCAGCAAACCACATGTAAGTTTGGAACTGGCCAAGTCTTGTTTGGGTTCAAGGAAGTGACTTAAACTCAGCCGTCAGAAGCCTTCTGCAGAGAACATTTCAGGATGCCAGACAGTCTAGTCAAAATTAAAGTGAATTTAGGACGAGCATCCGACTTTCCTTAAGTGGCCTCAAGAGGTCTCCTGCAGATACCACTTCACAAGTTCATAGAGACTTCCTTTCCAATCAGATGAGGAGAACCCAACAGTGCCAAATGTTGCCAAAGTTGACATGACATTTTTGAATATGCATAAATAAATGAAATTTAAAATGTGTTTCATATTTTCTCCCAATGGATTATTTGAAGCGCTTTGTGTAAAATGTCACATTATCTTTTTTAAATTCAATCTACAACACAAAGTTTGCAGGTGACTAATCTTGGGATTATCTGATCCACTGTGAGGCTAACTGCTTGAACAGAAGAGCTGGCATGCTATTGCTTTATTTAGCACCCACATTTGGTGACTGTCCCAGAGAAATACATTATCTGAAGCATTATGCCCTGTCCTTACTGTGCTCTAACAAACATTTTAAATTTCTCGCTCTGTCTCTTTCACTAAATCTTTCATACTGACTTGAATAAATCATAATGCGGTGATCTAAGAGCCTAGGTAAAGAGTGTGCGGTTATATAACTGCGAGTGTTTACTCATTTTAGCACAATATGATGGATGAGAGCACAAATGCTCAGGTTTTGTTTCTGTTTTTTTAATCTGCAGTAGCTGCTGTAGATTGAGCACATGATTTCATTACGGTTTTGAAAGTTGGTACTTGGTTTTAATCAATTTTAAATCATGCTTTTTATTTGTTTTTGTTTCTAATGTCTCTGTAAAGCACTTTGAATCACCTTGTTGTTGAATTGTGCTATACAAATAAATTTGCCTTGCCTTGCCTTACTTTTCAGAAACATGTCATTATATTGTGTGTTGTTCTCTCACCAGATTCTGCAACAGCTTCGATGGGAACATTTTGTTCGTAGGCCATAAATCCCAGCACAGAGAAGATGGCAAAACCTGCCACAAAGCTGGTGCCGCTGTTCAGACAACACAGCATGATGCAATCCCTGAGTACCAAGACAGAAAGAGAGTTAGAGATCACACTTATTGGATGAGTTGTTATTGCAGCTGACACTAGAAGCAGCACAGACAGAACAGAAAACAAGTTGCGTAATAAAGACATACTAAAATGATACATAATTTACTAATGCATAAATTCTTACCATTCGCCGCTTACCCATGGGGCTTTCTTCTTATATATTAACCATTTTGGAAAATCAAGATGGAGGTACATTTCAGTGCTGTTTGTGTGTGTTTTTTCTGTCAGCATCTCCAATATGAAATCAAGAGACTTGCTAGAAAAGTGTAGAATAGCTAAAGACTGCATGAAACTCCCAATATTTGGGATGACCACCTTTACTCTTCAACACAGATACCTCTGTTAGTCAAGCCTTCTTGTAATTTCTTTAAGTAGGCTTCAGGAAACAGTTCCTCAGGCTTCTTGAAGGACATTTGGTGTCAGCTGCCTTCAGTAATGTTGAGGTCTGGGCTCAGGGGAGGCCAAGCCATGACTGGTGATGTAATTCTATCTATGTATGCTTTTCCTGTGTTGTATTTTCCAGATAGTATTGCATAATTGATTAACATCTGAGCTAGTTTGCTCCATTCATGCCATCAGTTCTGTGTCATGTCTCTGCTGGATTATCTCCTATTTCTGACGGGCACGACTGAAAAAGCAGCCAATGTCAAAAGAAAACAACTACCAGACCCTCAGACAGACTGCAAAATGATGGCTCAAAACCATTTAAAAAATGAAAAGAAAGTCTGGCTCCATGGAAGCAAACTATAAAGAAATGAGAGGTGGGATTTATCTACCACACTGACCTGTTGGCTTCAGCTGTACTAGGAAATATCTCAAAGAAAATTAAGCACTCTGGCATTTCTTTGAACAGAGTTTGGTCATGTAATAGAACTGCCACTGATTTTCAGACCAGTTTGCACGGAGCACAGTTGAGACAAAGTGATGTAACTTAACACGTGTGCAGTAGCAAAGGCCAAAGGGATATTGTCCACTTTATCCCTGTGTCTCACATCCTTCTTAATTTGTAATGTGTTTATAATCCTACTGCATGATAGTGGCTAATTGTTTTCTACTGTTAGTTTTATTTATAGACAGACATCCATCAACTGGAATTTACATTCTTACCTGTAGCAGTTATTGTTGTAGGCATTATAACTTCCCAGCGCAGTAAGACAGCCCAAACAGATGGCATAGGAGAAGAAGATTTGTGTTCCTGCATCCACCCATACCTAAGTACCAAAATATACAGTATGTGTAGAAACAGACAAGATCAAAGAACAAAACAACAGAAAGTGTTTCTAAAGTGTTGACAAAAATTATCCAAGTCAATAAACTCGGCTTTTCTAAGGACGCTCATTTGCCACTAAATATCCACAAACCAAACATCATCATCATCACCATCATCCTTTGTGATCCTTTCCAGTCTTTGTGATTTGTAAAAATTAATTTTAAAAAAAACAAATTAAATTGAATTGTGTATGCTTTCCCATTTAAATGAGATCACCATGATATACCTAGGGGTCATTTATCTTCTCTAATGAAACTTTACATCTCTTTTGTTGCCCTTCATTCACCTTTTTTTAATCCTTTGTAATGAAATTATGGCTCAGATCTAATAGAGTCTTTCCCTTCAGACAGACAGGGAAGCAGCATGAATTATGAATTAAAATCCTAAAAGTAGCTCTAAACTTTTTTCAGAGGCTCATTATTTAAATTAAGTTCAATACTTTATACAGTTTGGAGGGATTTGAGGTAGGGAGGGTAATAGAAGCTTAAATTAAGCAATGAATATTATTTAATCTCTCTAATTGAAACAGATCTTGACAGAATTTAAAACCTAAAAAAGACAAAGTGGCTAAAAAAAACCCCACCAGACCACTCATTTGGCATTAGAGCCAGATAACTACTGGTAAGTACCAGTTGTATGGTGGTGAGGTGGTTAGTCAGTCACTTTGGTTCAAGTAGGCAACATGTCAGCAACTATCTAACACAAAACAATCGGGACAATTTTGCAGACGTCCCAAAAGAGTGAACTCAATTAACCTTTGTGATCTGCTTAGATTTCCTCCAGCACCTGAAGCAATAACCAGCCTAAAAAAATCTCATAGAGGACAATGGATTCAGTAGCTTGTGCATGTTGAGGATTTTAATGAAATGCCTAGATGATTAATTTCCAAATAATGTGCTGTGGCACAATGCTGTGCAATGGGGCAATCATGTGTCTTTTTGTCTGTATCTGTACATGTTGTGCAAGAAATTGGCTAATGACACATGGACAAAAGGGTCCTTGGAAGAAACATAACTTAATACCTCAAACAATTATTGGATCTGAACCAGAGGATGCAAGGCCATTTGTTCAGCTGAGGTATGTCCTAGTGAAGAGGTCAGACTCTTAAAAAAACAAGCTGTCATGCTACATCTGGATGCAACAAAAGGCTGTCAACAATGGTTGCCAATATGTTTAAAAGAGTACTTTGGGACTTGTCTGAAGACACAGAGCCTATTCTATATATATATATATATGAATGCAAATGAACTTTGAACTTTTGGCTTGCCCTTTAATGTGCCTCGGGCAAAAGTTCTTATTTATCAAATATCAGCATGATAGGATGAAAATAGGGTGAAAACATCTTTGACAATTTAGTTTTTTTGTGCACAGGCTGAAATGATCCCTTAGTTCAAAGTTGACAGCCACTCTTACTTGATTCTGGATGAACCCACTCTTAATTAAACCTCCATGTTGTCCAACCCTGTTGTTTTTATAAGCACCAATACAAAGGCTCATTTATGTTACCTGGCAAGCTTAGTAGAAACTGAGAGCTTGATCATTGACCATCATCACCTCAGAAAGTCTAGGAAATTTGCATACAGTACCCAAAGTATGTTTCTTGCAAAGTAGCCAGTATTTCTCTTAACTACAGTTTTAGTTTCCCAAACTTACTGTAATGATAAACGTAAAACAATAATCTCACGTTTTCTGTCACCAACGTTTTTTGTCATTTAGGTAGGAGGGAGTTTTGGTCTTTAATCAAGTAAAAATCTGAGTAAATTCCAATGTGGAGAGCTTACTCTATTATTGACTTTGTATTCTGTGAAGAAAGAAAGTTTCCCTACTCTCAGTTATTTTAATAAGTTTAAGTCTTTCCATCTTTGGGCTGAAAGGCAACTTTCTTGGGGCAATTTTAATGCAAAACAATAAACTTTGACAATGTTAATATATATCTGATGGGAAATACATCCAAAATAGTATTTGGTCATTGACTAAAGAGGATATTTACATATGTACAATTCATCAGTGAGAAAGCTTTAGTATGTGCATTATGAAACTAGTTTGTAGTGGAACACAGGACCCCAGAAACCCAAGGATAGCATGGGGTGCTAGCGAATTCAAACTTAATGCAGCATGGCTCTTTGAAAACTCTCTCACATCACCATTCAGCCACTAATCTCATTTCCCCACTGAGAAACAATTAACAAACGCAAGGTCTTCGCTCCCTCCTGGGAGTAACCACGGTAACTTCTGTGACCTCACAAACACAGGACTGTTCCTGTGGAAGAACAGGCCTTTCTCTCCTAATGTTCATTAATGTTCCCTTTAGTTCAACCTCGGCTGATGGCCGCACAGTGCAGGGAAACCTTGAAAGCCCAGGCTCAGAGAGAATCACTTGTTGATGTTGTGCCTAATTTGGCCGGCTCGTGTTTGGTTATGTTGAGACTGTGGCTCCAGGAAACTTGTCTACTGTGTGAAAGCTGGATGACATAGGCTGTTAGATAGTGCTCTTGTAATGTAAATGTACCACTCTTGGTGTGCTTTACATCTCCCTCTGCTTATGAATGATCTATAGATTTGAACTGAGGCATTAAGACATGAAATTAGCTTTTATGTGCCCCTCTACATCTGAGCCAGGCATTATTAAATGGAATTTCGTTCCAGAGTATTATCACAATCTATCACAACTGCATAAAGAATACAGACCTATAACAATTAGTTATTATTAGTTATTAGTTATCACTTATTTCAGTCCTTTATTTTACCAACATGCATATTGCTGCTGTTGTGCAATAACCTTTTTACCTTTTAATAATAACTAATTTGAACTATTAAATGATTAAAAAATGTTTCTCCAAAGCTGATATATAGTAAAAAAACAAAAAAAAAAAAAAACAAAACAAAAGCCTGTGGACTTTGGAGTGCAAACAAAGTACACCCTGATAACTTCCACAGGAATTAAGAGTTTGTGTAGCAGCCAGATGCTCCTAGTCAATTCCACTTGATTAACTGATCATCAGGAAGTGTAACCACCATTATAAAAGCAAAAATGTGGTCAGTCCTATTAACACAAAACCACAATTTTCCCAGGAGTGGACACCCTGAGATCAAACCGTGCAGTGCTCAGAGAAACTGTAAAATCTAAATCTGAGACTCTGGAGGAACTAGTGTGCTAATTGTGTAAGGTCATGACAGTGCAATTACAAAAAAAAATTAAAATAGGTATGACTTATTTGGAATGTTCGCCAGGAGAAAGCATTTTCTCTTTAAAAAGATCATGGCAACACAGCTGAGGTCATCAGTCATTAGGTTGACTATGAATTCATGTATTCCTCTCTATACCAAAGTATTCTACAGTCAAATATGTGTTCAACTGTTCAACAGCAACAGGAAAATGATCCTAAGCATTCCAGCAAAATCTACCTTAGAGCAGCTTTGAAAGTAAAGAATCAAGGTAGCTCAGCCAAAGCCCAGACTTCAGCTTGACTGCAATGCTGCGGTTGGACCTCAAGCGAGAACCTGTACAAATGGCCACAAACCGAATTGAAGCAACACTTTTGCAAGCTACTGAATCATCGGGTGTAGTTCGTTTTTCACAAGACTGCTTAGTTTTGTGAAAACTTTCATTTTCACAACTATATGCCTGACTAGAGCATAGCAGTCTTAGTGTATTCTTTACCTGTTTCTAACAACCATTCATCTCTTGGATAGCTCAGGATCCAAGAATGTGCAATGTGAAAATTATCTGTCATATTTTGGCTAAAGGTTTTTTACTTTTACGTCATCATTTTGTTTTTGCTACTGAAGGTCATCATTGAGTCAACAAGTTGGGTGACTGTTCACTAGCTACACCTAGTAGATCCTGTCATAAATCTCTACTTGCAACCTCACCCTAAATCCTGTGAGAGGAGCTAGGAAAAAACAGGGCAACAGCTGTACTGCCCCAAAAGTGCAAAAAGGAGGGGTGATGCATAGTGCAGAGTGGAGGGTGATTGGGGGAGACAATCACTAAAAGAAAGAAAAGAAGAGAAATGTGGAAGGCACAACAAAGTTCAGGGGTGTAAAAAGAGAGGGCAACACCCAGCCACACACACTTCACAAAGCTGGTTGAACAGAACAGAGCCCTCATTGTTCCCGAGGAAGCCAGTTTAACATTGGTGTCAGAAGTAATGTCCTCTGGCAAAAAACCAAAAGCTTTCTTTATTACTCTTCTTGCTCTTCCTGTGCTGTTGTATGTGTCTTTATTTATCTGTCCTCATCCCCTTAATCTGTCACAATTTATCTGTTTCACTGTTTCCTTTCTCTTATTTTAATCAGTTTACAAATGTAACTATCTTACTGTACCTTACTGTACAGCAGTTGGAGAGTATATCAAATAAATAAAAGAATCAAATCAGATAGTTTGCTTTTAGTACTATATAGTGAGCTTAATTGATCATGGGATACATCGGTACCCTCAAGATAATAATTATATGGAAAAACAACTTGTTAATTAATAAAAATAGGGTTTATACACTACATTACATCATCCAGTCCATCATTATGGCATTATATTGTATGTTCTTAACACCTTTTCTCGCCAACATGTTGTGTGAAACAGGTTGGTTTGTTGGTGTATAGTTACAGATTGAGGGAAACTTTAGTTTAATTACCAAGAAACAAACTTTCTTTGTTATCACATTCAAGACATCACACCCGGTGTCGCTATAAAGAGTGTAAAAAAGGTGTTTTGTCAGGATGGGAGTCTGACAAGAAGGAAAACATCATATTGACACATTTTGTTTCCTGAAATGCTGTAATGTGTTTCCAAATTGGGAAGTTGGAATAGCTCTGTTTACCTATAAGCATGAAGACATTATGTTTACATATCACAATCACACTGAAGCTGTGTACTATCTATCTATCTATCTATCTATCTATCTATCTATCTATCTATCTATCTATCTATCTATCTATCTATCTATCTATCTATCTATCTATCTATCTAAGAAACTCTATCTCAATTTGTGTTGTCATGACCACCATCCAGTGACATTTTCTAGCCCTCTGTTGCCAAGCGACTTGAACCGTCTGCCTTTTCCAGACAAGGTCAAGGAGTCTCCATTTATGTGTGCTTGATTGTGTCTGTATCTCTGTGAATTCATTGTATGTTAAAGCAACTCCCTCTATTAGCACCAAATACTGATCTTTTGACCATAGCCAAGTCTTTCGATCAGGTTTTCTGACCTGACCTTCAGTTAATCCGTCACCAGAGGAAGTGTCAGTTCAAATTATGCCACTGTCACTAAACCACTAGATTTAAATGCATATTTTTGCAATATTTAATCTAAACAGTTTTTGCTGCAGTTGTTTTGTGCAGAGTAAACAGAGTTTTTGAGGTAATATTGAGAACAACTAGTAATAGGTGTAAAACAAACTGCAAACACTCCTTATGTTTGCAGTAAAAACACTTCATATGCTTAGTCTGCATAGCCCTTTTTGCCGTCATTAATTTAGTGTCCTCAGGCTGTTATAACTAACCTGACTAAAACGACTCAGTGCAATCAGACTGATTCCATTGATCTGAATGTCATACTGCCTTGCCAAGGACACAATTATAGAATAAACTTGGGACAGTGATAAAATGATGTCACTCTGTCACTGGATTGGATCCAGAAAAGCAAGCAAAGATTACAAAAGAACCAGTATAAAACTTAAGCAGTAACACCTCTAGATGGCACAGTTATTAAAAACAACAACAGCTTCTGCTTTCCAAATTTAGATTTTTGCAGAGTCGCTAGTGAAAGACAGCCTACCTGAGGGTCAGAGAGTCGTGAAATGTCTGGGTAGAGGTAGAACTTGATACCATCGAATGCTCCGGGCAGCGTCACTCCCCTGATCAGCAGGATCAACAGCATGAAATAAGGAAAGGTAGCTGTCACATACACAACCTGTGGGTATGAACATAGGCATATGCAAGCATATGAGTACAGTGTTACTGTCCAAACAAAATGAATTTGATTATTACATAACATGAAATGAGGACAGTTAAAACAAAAAGTCTGCAAATGACATTCTGAATAATGCTGGCCTGTGACAAACATGGCTACTACTCAATGACTCATTGTTTTAGAAGTGCATCAGAAACTGAGATTGGGAGACAGTATTCTATGCAACAATAACACATCACTGCTCAGACCTAAAGGTGAGAGGACATGACAGCAATCTAAACAACAATACCTAGACAGGAAAAATTGTGGCAAAGTAAGTGAGGAAAATAATCTTTGGGATAAAAGAGCAATTTGTTTTTTCTTGGTGCACGCAAACATAAAGCAACAATGTGCTGCAATGTGAGTGCTACAACCAATTTTTAACGCTCACAAATTTGGCTTTAAAAAGCCATAAAATCTCATAAGGCTCAATGAACATATATGGAGTGAAGCCACAGAGCTGGTTCAGACACTGCGTCATACACACTAACACGTCCCACTTTCCTCAAGTCATATGCCAAACACCCTCTCTAGATTTGGCACTGTATTTAACCTGCAAATTTCCCATCTCTCCCTCTAAAGGATTCATGGTTGTATATCAAGGTGAAGACAACAGAATATAGGACAATGTGTCCTAAGCACAAAGGACTTGTGTGGAAAATATTAGACCGCTGTTTAATTACATAATAGCGCACTCAGTGTGAGGTCAATGAGAATCTGTGGCCACAAGTACACGTTTAACCGAACAACCAGTGAGCCGTCATGCTGCTATGCTTCTATAATATAGTATTTTGTATAAAATGCACGTTTTGTTTTCTTTCTTTCCAACACCACTTCATATTTAAAGAAGAAAGGGATGGGCGAAATCAGATCGTGCAATGCAAACTCTGTTTGCCAGCAACCAAGCTGCTCTCAGTGTCAAAAGACTCCAAAAGTAATTTCTTTTTAAAAAACTAACGTTAGCCTACTGCAACCACCTTGTTTCAGTTGTGGTAGCTACCTGGGTTATGTGCCACTTCAGTATCTTCGATGTACTATTGCTGTGTGATTTATTACCATTACTAAAGGCTACTCACCACCGAGCTAACATTGTTAGCTGGCGTCAGCTGAGGTTAGTTCATAGACTGCAGGCTGTTAGACTTGATGGATAGCATTAACAACTTGCTAGCGGCAAATAATCACGTGCAGTTCTGAAAGCAGTCTATGAACTAACCTCAGCTAACAATATTAGCTCAGTGGCGAGTAGTCTTCAGTAATAGTAATAAATCACACAGCAATAGTACATTCATGTAGTTGGGAAAAGCATGGCAATATATTAAGTAATTCAAAGTATTCAGAATACGTTACTCACATTGAGTAACTTAACAGAATGCATTACAAATTACATTTTGGGGGATGTATTCTGTAATCTGTAGTGGAATACATTTTAAAAGTAACATTCCCAACACTGTAAGTAGTATGCACGTCAGCACCTGAAGAGTGCTAACTTTCAGGTCAGTTCTTTTTATTATATAAAATAATTATGTAATGCAGTAAATCAATATTATTGAATTATGTGGGGGCAACACAAGTTCATCGTAACTGTGACAAAGTGTCTACACATTTGAAACAACCTGTCATACAAATTTGCCATTTAGATAGTGATTAATTGGGCAAACTTTACAAAACAAAACAAAAAAATCATTGTGACACATAAATTGAAGGTTTTTGGGAACGTTAAAGCTTCACAGCTTATCTAAGGTGTTTTTTTTGGGGGGGGAGGGGTTCTACAAGAAACTGCAGTTTTATTTAGTGCAAGAATACATTCATGTGGTAGCATCTTGCATACAGTAGCTAGCTAGCTTCTGCTAATGTTCAAACCTACACTCTTATATTATTGAACTATTCGGGTTTTGCAGAACTGTGCTAGACATCTCAAGACTCTTAGAAACTCACTGAACAAAGACTTTGGTCTCTTGGAAGGCAGAGGCGGGCAACATACATCCCCTGGCTTTTTGGCACTCAGTCAAAGTCCAATTGAGGAGAGAACAGGACAGAAGAGAGGCAGGCCAGGAGAGTGAAAAGAAAAGAAGGCTCCTCTGGCCCCATCTCTTAAACAGGAGAAGCCCACGGGAGTGATGCTGGCAGTGTGGGAAAATGTGCTTCTCTTGGACGCACGCGCAGAAGTGCATGAGCACGTGCACCAACGGACACACACTCGCAACTTTATTCATAGCCCATAAGTGGGTGCGCACATACTACAGAGGCAAAATGTAGAATTCACAGATACCGGCCTAAAAACCAACTTGTGTGTGTGTGTGGTTCTGGTACAGCAAAGTTCTGAATCAAACTTCAAAGAAGTTCATTTCATTTCTGTGTGGCCGAATGCAACTGTGACTCAGTCACTGTGAAACTGAAACCAGAATCAAAGCTTAAATACATGAAATCCTAACCAAGTGTCTGTTCGAACAGCAGCAGCATCCATGAAGCTTAATGAGGCTGACCACTTTAAGCTCTGCTAATCCTAGCGTGGCCCACAAGGAAAGTGTGGGAAAATGTGCCTCCTTCCCAGCGGATCACTCCTTTAATTTGTAAAATAAAACGATTACACATCCTGAACCTTCTCTCCCTCTTTCTCTCCATCTCTCTGGAGATGAAAAGGACAATATTCAATCTCTCCATGAACTTTTGATGCTCCGCATGCTCCTTCCCGCTCACCAAACATTTAAGCCACCACAAATTTACTGGTCAAACTTGCCCCTGCCTTGCCGTAAATCTAACAGGAGGGCTTAAATGTGAGAATGGCCGGCAAACAGGGCCAACAAAAGCAAACAGCTTAGCAGAGTCGGAACTGAATGGTCTGTGGAAAAAAAAGCGACCCTCTCTTGCGACGAGTGAGCTGTGGTTAATTTTGCATAGCAGAAGGGAGAGAGAGGCAGCGGAGGCGGAGGCTGAGGATATACTCTGCATGCTCCTCATGAATGCTCTCCTTTCCTCCAGTGAATGCAGGAATCAATCTTGGACGGGCTGCTAAAGCCCAGCCATGAAGAAGCATTCTCCCCTCTTACTTCACAGCCAAACAAAAGACACTTCATGGAGATATAGGCATCGTCCCCCTAGTTGTTTTTTCCCCAGTCATGTAGAATGTGAACCCATTAATTTTTCCTCACACACCTCTCCTCTTTTCTCTTGACTCTCTTTTTCCCTCTCTATTTCTCACTTTATCTCTCTACTCATTCTGGCTCACTGAATCTATGAGAAGGTTTTCAAGGGCTGCTGAGCACCCATAGCCAAGTCCTTACTGTCCTCCCCATGGCTGCCAGAGAAAACTCAAGGCAAGTGTGATTGGAGGAAAGGTAGAAGTAGGTGGTGTAGACACCTCTTTGTCTCGCATTTAATGGGGGGAATTCATTTGGCTTCCTGTGGGAGAGCTTTCTCTTAGGACCAGAAGGGAAAGTGTTTTATCTTGTGGCTGCTTCAGTGGGGCTGTTTAAAATTAAAACTGCCCCAACTTACAAACACTAGAGGTAGTATAAAAGCAGAGTAGCATCCAAACACATTACTACACACAGTATTACTATAAATCCTTCATATTTACAGTTTCAAATAGTGAGACGCACTATCAAATACAGACATTCACACACCAACACATTAAGGCACACATAGAACACTAAACATTTATCCCTTGTTCTCACCTTGCCAGTTGACTTGGGTCCCTTCCAGATGCAGAAGTAGCAGATGAACCAGGCCAGAGCCAGACACATGGCCAGCTCCCAGCGCATCCCTCCCATGTGCTCGATACCATCTGATATCTTGAGTACTCTGCGTCTGATTTGACCAAGAAAACACACAGTTACAGACTTGGAATTTGACTGAGTTCAAATTCTTGGGTGATACGAGCAGGAGTCTAAAAACTTCGCAGGGAAGACGGAGCAGCATCGGAGAAAAAAACAACGCCTCTGCAACCTCCCCGAGACCGATTCTGCCTTTAAAACTAAGCGAGCAAAAACAGCAGTGATTGCTGCTGTGGCTATGCCAAATTTCAGCTAATGCATCTCCAAACTCAACTACATGTAGCAAGTTTACCTTCACTGTCATGCTCAGTTTCAGATTGTTTGGGTAAATTTTGAATAGTTGCAACAATGCAGTGGATTTTTCTCTACTTAATCTACATTTCTGCTAAGAAAAAAAAATTAAATAAATATTTACAGTGGACTCTTGAAAATGTTAGGACAACATGGGAAATACTGCTTTACAAACTGCTGTCCTCTCTTTTTGAATATCACAGGCCTTGTATGTACAGATGCCCCTCTGATGGATCTGCTGGAAAACTAACATAGCAAACCAGTATAAAAGCTGTGAGCATTGGGGGAAATACATCATACATCAGCAAAGTGGGTGGCACTGTGTTGGCCTAACACTGTATGTACCACCAACTCTGAAGTAGAAGTTTTCATGAAGAAATTTTAAAGCAAGGCTAGAATTATATTGACTTAACTGTCAGTATAATTCTAGCCTTGCTGCTAGTCTGCCCTCAACTGCCTAACCATTGTGGGTACTCAGTTTGACACCACAGGTAGACTACAGCTACTCTAACTGGTAAATTCTATACAAGCATCACCATTTTCTCGTAGATCAGTGTTAGCAGTACATATTGCATGGCCCTTATAATGTTTATGTTAAAACTTATTGCGATATGCTAAACGGTGTGGGTGCAAGATGCAGAGCATGTTATCAGCAGTAATGACATCAGTGGTGGGGAATCAACAGTGTGTTTCCTGTTTGTTAAAACACAGCCAGGCAAAAGCATTGATAAAGGATGAGAAGCGGGAGCCGAAGCCACAGAACTACATGGTGCTGCCAAATCTTTGCCACCGAGTTCAACCCTGGGGCTCTGACCAGCCATTGATCATGGTGACATGTTCTTGGTGGCCGGCCACAGGCTAGGTCCAACACAGCCCCACTGTCCCTCCTTGGTCACCCAAAAGGGCAAGATGTGGACACTAATGTGTGTAAATAAAGTTGTGTGGGGTCTCAGATTTGTTGAAATTGTTTAAATCGGTCAAGGGTGATTCATGCTGACGTGCTCTTGTTAGTGTGACACTCAGTATTTTTGGAGGCTAGTAGTTATGAAAGGTTCGGTATAGTTCAAACCAAAGCTAAGCACTCCAGGTATCCTTGAATAATACCGTACCGCTATGCATTTTTTTCTATTCAAAATTATTAGGAAGCACTAAAAACGTGTCAGTTTAGGAGTCCTTTCAAACTCTTCTTCTGTAATCTCAGCTTTGCATTTTAAACGATAGGGACCAATAACAGCATTTTTTTATCAGAACATTTTTTAAAGAAAATAAAATACAGTTTTTAGAGGCCTGAGGTTTGTTTATTCTGTACATACAGTACAAAGCAGTCCCTCTTGGCATACGCTGAACAAAGCCTGGTCAGATTCTATTTTTGCCAACAACATGGTGGTTGGCTATTTGGCCATGTCTTACTCCTGGGTTCGGTTTATGTTCCTGGCTCAGATCTGACATTTTCTATGACAGTTAAGTTGGTCGTCTCTCTCAATTTGAACCTAACCACAATCTAAATCTAACAGTTTTGATCAAAATATGCTGTTTTAAAAATATTCTTAAGTAGGTTGCCCGTTTGATTTGACCCAGCAGTGTAAACACAGCTACTGGCAGTGAGACAGGAAGTGTGGTCAGCATTACACACTGACAAGGCCTGATCTGTTGCCACACACATGGCTCTAGCTGGGAGACAGCTGGCCAACCAGGGCCTGCTGACACACAAATATGAAAAGGGCTGACTAATTTTCGGGCGTAAGGTTAGTGGGGGCAGCAAAAGAGTCTGGAGCTTGAAGCATATGGCAACATTAAGAATGGAGGGGAAGAGTGTTGCGTTGAAGATTGCCTGAACTGACAAAGGATGGTGTTAGAAGGCAAATGGTGATTCAGTTAAAATAATGAGGTTTTGCACTTGCAAGCAGATGTGAAAATATAGAAATAGAAGTGTACTCACTCCCAGAACTCAATGACTGGAGAAGATGCATTAGGGTTTGTGATGTTGGTGGCATTTTCTCCATAATAGTCAACACAGTATTCTGTAAATACACAATAGGTTATCATGTTGAAACCACCATGCAGGTGTATGTGTAGAGTTGGCTTTGCACATCAAACCTAGAAGGTAATTTCTGTTTTCTTTCCTCCGCACAGGTTTGCAGGCGTATTTGTTTTTCTAAGAATTTGCTCCACTGCTATTTCCTCCTACCTGTATTCCAGTAGTGCCCACAGCCAGCCCACGGCAGCTCAGTGGTGAAGCAGTTGAAGAGGTAGAAAATGGCCCAGGCGAGGATCACTACGTAGTATATGTTTAGATGAGCTTCAATCACCTGTGTTGCATAGCCAATGCCTGAAAAAGAAACGTGAGGCTGATAAAAGAAGGAAATTGGAAAGAAAATGCAGGTAATAGCAAGATTTATAAATGACTGCAACCTTCACTGCTCCAGTGGTTATAAGGCACTCATAAAACAGGCAACATTTATCAGCCAAACTAATGTGTCTTCCATCGGCTTTCCCATCAGTTGTTAAAGTCAAGCGCATACTAAACATATCAAGTGTGTGTTTTCTCACCCTCAAACAGTGGGCAGACTTTCCTCCAGCAGGTGATGCCTCCCTCACTGGTAAACTGACCCAAAGCGGTCTCCAAGAAAAACACGGGGATACCACAGCAGATGAAGAAGATGACATATGGAACAAAGAATGCACCTTGTAGACAAATAAAAACACACACAGTACATCAATATATGCGATCTATACAAGAGAGTAACATGTCTGGAAGAAAAGCAGATCAAAATTCCTGCATCAAATGCATCTATGAAAAAAAAGAGTAAAGGGCAAAACAACCAAATTCACATGAAAGCGCTCATTACTGTGTCACACTCAAACTGCAGGATGACATTTTTAGATCATGAGGCAAAGCCATACTGTGCAGTCTAATGGTGCCTAATGAGGTAACCTGCCTGTTATTGACAATATTCTGCATAATAGATGATATAATAAATTACTCAAACCACTTGCCTGTTTAATTTTCATAAAGTGAAAGTTCTAACTTTTCCTATGATGCAACAAAATAAATAGAATTCAAAAAATAACTTGTAGGTCTTTTATGCAGGAATTGGTTATGTAACTTGAAAAAATTAAAACATAGTCTCAATCTTTTTTTTCTTTTAGTCTGCCTTCGTGTAAGGCAGTTGCTTTTATCTCTATTTTTCAATATATAAATTTTATATTATATTTTTAAAGAGCAACTCTATTTCCATCCCACTACCCCTAAATAAAGGAAACTTTCTTGCCTCCTCCATTCTTGTAGCAGAGGTAAGGAAACCTCCAGACGTTGCCCAACCCAATGATTTCTCCAGCCACAGACAGGACGAATTCAATCTTGTTGTTCCACTGGCCCCTCTCATTGTATCCCCCACTGTCTAGGCTGGAGCTTGACCCTTCCGGGTCTCTGCCATCCTCTGGTTTTCCGTTTATAACAGGCCCGCTCTTCTCAGCTGTCATGACGCTCCAGCAGCCTGCTGAGACAGAAAAAAACACAAGCAGAAAGAAATGAAAAAAACAAAACAAAAACGACAAGAAAAGAAAGGTGACAACATAACCGGGACTTTAAACGAATTCAGCTCTTTTTTCCTCCATCTTTAATGGAACATCTGAATGAGTGTCCAGTTTGTGCAAAACCACGCCCATCTCCCAGCGCAGACTTGAATAATACGCGAAGGTTCCAACCAAGTGAAAGCTGTCCAGTTAATAATTGCGGTCAAAGGCACTTTGACCACCTGCAAATCTAGAAAAAAAACCCCAATAAATAAACATTAAAAAATGCTGAGTGTTAAAGCTATCGTCCTCTTCAGCAAAGAAAAAATAACGCATATAAACGTCACAATGACTCAAAATGAAGTTACTGGATAGCAGCACAGTAAGTTAAAAAAATGTAGAAAAAGAAGACAACAAACGTCTTAGTTAAAACATTCTGGCTCAAGTATGAAACTTTCTGAAAATAAAGTCGGAGTGGCTCTACTTACCAGTCTCCTATGGAACAATGTCTAACCTCCTTTTTGGCTCCCGCAATGATGCGCACTAACAATTGCCTTTACAGAGCGCGGGATGGTTAAGCCTGATCAGGGGGGTGAAAAGAGGCGAGAGGGGGCAAAAGAGGAAAAAGAAAAACAAATCTGGGTCCGCGTTGAGTGATGTGATTTTGTTAAGTCTCGCGTCTATATAAAGGAAGATCGCAGACGTGGCAGAGCAACGGCTGATCTTGCACCAGGCGATGGGTAACCTGCGACTGCGCTCCCACTCTCCGAGCGGTCTACTCTCAAGCGCCTCTACTTGGATAAAAGCCATTTGGTAACCAGTCTAGCGCTCACATCAGCGTTACCACGGCACAGGGAGCAGGGTGGCCATAAGGGGAGACTGGACAAGCACGAGAAAAAAGTTGGGGAGATGTAAGTTTAGGGATGCGGTTTATAGTTGAAAAATAACCGCACTTCCAATACTGTTTGTCGTGTGACTACTTTAACACACTGATAACACACGCATGTAAATCCATAAATGGGATCAGGGACGATCTGGGGCACGAACTGTGTGGATAATTGGTGGTCTACCTTCATGAATAAGTGAAAAAAAGCTTCCCTCAAAGATTAACAAGTGTTCGCGTTCTGCCAAATATCAGCAGATTTTTAATATTCTGGGTTGTGAGCCACTGCACGACAGAAAGTTTCTATTCAAACTTGGTTTTAAGGGAACGGTTAATAACAGTTAGTTAATAATACCCTATAATAATTAAGCAATAAGACAAACATACATTGCCAATCACTTTCAGAGAGCATCTACACACCTTTACATAATTAAAATATAGTTAAAGTTGGGGGTTTTTTTAAATTAAAGAACGTTTGATTGTCACCCTGTCTTGGTCATATATTTTAGATTGTCACGTAATACATAATTATTATTGCCCTTTATCACAAATTTTTGATAAAATTGGGTGTGTGTGTGTG